TGGGTCCGGTCGTGGGGCCTGAACTCTGGGCCTGGGCGCTGTCCCTCAGCTCTTCAGCTCAAGGCTAGCGCTCTACCATTTGAGCCACAGCGCCACTTCTGGCTTTTCTTTTTGCTTATGTGGTGCTGGGGAATCGAACCCAGGGCCTTGAACATGCAAGGCAAGCGCTCTACCACTGAGCCACCTTCCCAGCCATGAGTACATTTCTTATCAAGCATTGTTGCCTCCTCCTTTGTTTCCCCTTATATATTTATTACATATCATAGTATACATAAAATTTTATATCATACTACTGTCATATCATTGCCATGTCATTAAATATTTGAAGGCATTTAAAATGGCTTATTCATCTTGTTAGCATATCTTCATTTCTTTCAATTACTTGGGTCATTTCCTTTTTTTTTTTTTTTTTGTGCTAGTACTGTGCTTGAACTCAGGGCCTGAGTGCTGTCCCTGAGCTGCTTTTACTCAAGCCTAGCACTTGCCTACTTGCACCACAGCTCCACTATTGGCTGTTTTTTGTTTTGTTTTGGCAGTTTATTGGAGATAAAGAGGCTCATGGATTTGCCTATCTGGATTGGCTTTGAACCATGATCCTCAGATCTTAGCCTCCGGCATAGCTAGAATTACAGGCTTGAGCCATTGATACCTAGCTTTTTCCAATTTCTTTTATTAACAATGTTGCATAAAACATTTAGATGAGGCAAGTCTGCATTTGTTTCTTTGTAATAAAAATTAAAATCGGAGTACCAAAATAAAAGATGTGATATTTATAAAGTTCTAAGAATTTCTGGCCAAACTTCCCTCAAAGCCTAACACAATGCTCCCCTCTGAGTTACTCTGGAGTTTTTTCTTCCTAGTATGCTATGGTGTGAAATCAGGGCTTCATATTTGCTAGGCAAGAGCTTAAGCCTACTTCCCCACGGGAGCCACTTCTCCATCCCTGGGCTAATTTTTAAATTTGGGAGACAAAATAGAAATCAACTAGGCTAATAAAACAATAAGACTCTCAAATCTGAGTATTAACCTTCAAGTAGATATAATGGTATAAGTATTACTTTATCACGTGACCTTTGGATTACATTTACATGGACATGATATTGGAAATAAAGGTACCAGCTAATATCTTTAAATGTACTAATTATTAACCTATCATCACTGTTGATTAGATCTTGACAGTCAGCTGAAATTTAAATTCAACTGTTAAATGAAGGAGATAATGTGTTTTATGTAAGTTACTACACTGTGATTTTTAAGTGATGGACTTAGGTGAAGAAATGAGGCAAGTGACAAGCAAAGGAAGCAAACCTACCTCTGTTTGCATTAATATAATACATTTAATAGAAAAAAGGAAGATAGCAAGAAAATGGTTATTAAGCTGACAAGGCTTGTGCAGATCCAATTTGTCAGTCACAGAGATTCATGAAATGTAATTACAACTACTTTCCTATCTCAGAGACCAAGATATAAAAAAGAAAATCACAGAGCTGAGCGCAGGTCGCTCACACCTGTAATCCTAGCTACTCAGGAGGCTGAGATATGAGGATCACGGTTCAAATCCAACTAGGCCAGGAAAGTCCATTAGACTCTTATCTCCAATAAGCCACTAGAAAACTGGAAGTGCTACTGTGGCTCAAATGGTAGAGCACTAGCCTTGAGCTGAAGAGCTGGGGGACAGCGTTCAGGCCCAGAGTTCAAGCCCCATGACTGACAAAAAAGAAAAAAGAAAAAAAATCACTTGAAATCAGAAACTGTCTTAACCTTAAATCCATTCTTTTGAGTTTTGTGTTGCTTAAGCAATAGTTTTGTGGGATCTTAAACACCATTTGATTATACTATAGAAATAATTTTCTTTTTAAAAAATAGCTACCAAGATTTAAGGTTTTCTATTGTCAGTTGTGGAGCCTGAACTCTGGGCCTGGGCACTGTCCTTCAGCTCTTCAGCTCAAGGTTAGTGCTCTACCACTTGAGCTGCAGTGCAGCTTCCGGCTTTTTCTGCTTATATGGTGCTGAAGAATCAAACCCAGGGCCTCATGCATTCAAGGCAAGCACTCTACCACTGAGCCACCTTGCCAGCCCAAGATTTAAGGTGTTGTTTTTTTTAAGGCTTTTATATTTATAGATTAGCTTTAGAAGCATATACAAGCTAGAGAGGGGAACTGAGTATTTTTTATTCTCCCAACTGAGAATGGTCCCAATTTAGAATGATTTGAACTTATTCAAAATACCAGAATAAAGAGGTCCTTTCTGTTTTCTAACGCCAGCAACTCTATGCCACCTTACAGGTAGTCTTATTCTAACCTACCAAAGATACTACTAGAAACACCAGCTCTCCTTATCTTAACAGGACCTTGAAGGTGTTAGTTTTATGTTTGAAGTTTTACTGACTCTCCATAAGTGCCCTTTACCTCTAGGTTGAAGAGCATATTAAAGTCAGGAATGCAGACATGTTTGTCCTCCATTTTCCTGCGCATGTTTTTGATGGCATGGATTGAGGTCTCATAATAGAGCTGGGGTCTCCTGCGGAGAGGGAAGTCTTTCACCCAGCTGCAACAAATCTCATGTAGCTTGCTGAAGACAGAACGCGCCAATTTCACTGTCTCAATCTCTGTGAAGGAAACAGAAACCTCCAATGAAAAGCTTTGTAACATTGCTTGGTAAGGACAGAAGTAGGGCACCTTAGTCAAATTCCTTAACAGAAGAAACTCATCGTCCTCAAGAAAAAGGAAATGCTGTTTCTGAAGAGAAAATGACAGCCTATCTACACTAGAGAATCATCAGCCAGAAGCTGTCACTAAGATATCCTTTTATCACAAGGAGAAAACCTCTAGCTAGGTCTGGACCTGTTTCTAGGCTTGATTTTTTCCAGCCCGTGAAGCATTCTGGTTCTGTGCTTAAATTCAGAGCATCTTTCTGCTGGCTGGCTGCAATGGTTATCGCCTGGAGACCCAAGCCTTCTAGACTCAGAATGACTGAAATATGAACATTAGTTATCTAGTTAATTGGAATAAGAAAATAAGAAAGCCTTAAGAAAACTTTATAAATATAGAAAGAAAAATGTTAACCATGATTGCAATTTCTTTGTCCCTTTCTTTCTGTTATCTTTACTTACAGTTCCTTTTCTCTCCACTAAATGATCATCATTTGGAATAGAATTACATATTTTTTCTATTTGTTTATTTCTGTTTATTTTTTAAGGTTTTAGACAGCAAGGAGAATCATGAAAATGTATCAAGATGTACTGTATTCATAAACTGACATGTTAAATTGAAACCCTCTTTTATATCTAAAGATAATTTTTTAAGTTAAAAACTAAATGTTTTAGCAGTATTTTAAATGGTTTAGCCAATAAAGGTAATTAACAAAGGTTGGGGTTTTCTTGAGGGGAAAGTACTTAAATCCTGTCTATGTGTATATACCTAGATGGAAAAATGGTGATAGTAATCAGAGAAGCAATACTAATAGTATTCTTCACCCTAAGTATATACTTCACCTTAACTTTATTATACAACCAAATCAGGTAACAAAGACTAATCACCTTCTCTGAGGCATAGTATCTTTCAGTAGGTTGGACTGATGGGTAGGTCTTTTCAACAACACTTAATGGTATACTAAAGAGATATCTTAACCAGTTCCACTCAAGCTTTTCTCTACTCAAGCCACAGCTATTGAAATAACCAATGGAAGACCAGGTTTTCTCAAGCTAATATTACAGGCTACTTCTAAATCTCAGAGAAAAAAGAAACAACATTAGAACTTAAGAAATGATTTTATTAGCCAGGCACCAGGGGCTCTCACCTGTAACCCTAGCTACTCAGGAGGCTGAGATCTGAGGATCACGGTTCAAAGCCAGCCTAGGCAGGAAAGTCCATGAGACTCTTATCACTAATAAACCACTAGAAAACCGGATGTGGAGCTGTAGCTCAAGCAGTAGAGCGCTCTCCTTGAGCAGAAGAGCTGAAGGACAGTGCTCAGGCCCAGAGTTCAAGCCCCACAACCAACAACAAAAAAAGAAAAAAATATTTTATTGACCTGTGGCCAGTAGCTCATTCCTGTAATCTTTGCTACGTGGGAGGTTGAGATCTGAGGATCAAGGTTCAAAGCCAGCCTGGGTAGGAGACTGGAGACTCTTATCTCCAATTAACCACCAAAAAGCTGGAAGTGGAGCTATGGCTCAAGTGGGAGTGTGAGCCTTGACGAGAAAAAAGCTAAGGGATAATGCCTAGGCCCCAGTACTGGCACACATACACAAAAATTGTTTTACTAAATCAACTATGGCTTGCCAAGCCTGAGGAAACATGTGCCAGATGGGCAGTGGCTGCAGATGCCTCTTCTAATCTAGAAACACAAATCTCAAAGAATAGACTGTATGTTCCTGAGCAGCTTGGGAACTTGGACTCCCAGTTTTTACTTCCAGGCTTGCCTTTAACTTTAATCTATAACTACACTTACCTATTTTCTTATGTCAAATTATTTTTTATTTTGATTAATTGATCAAGACAGGGTCTTGCTATGTAGACTAGGCTGACCCAGAACTCCAGATCCTGCTGGCTCAGTCTAAGTACTGGGATTTCAGGTATGTGGTGCCATACCCAACACGAAATTCTTTGTTAAAATGACTATATTTAGAAAACTGATCAAGTTGTTTATTTTCTTTAGTAATAGTACAGAGTGGTAAGCCCTGTTTTGTGGCTTTGTGCCGCCCTTAAAAATATTTTTTGAGACAAGAATTCCCTATGGACCCTAGTAAGGTATGCTATGTTACACCTACACAACTATGTTTAGCCTCTCCTTAACTTTATGTAACTGAAAACAAAGGATGCATTTGAAAAATAAATGAAGCTCATGGAATAAAGGAGCTGGCCAAGGCTTTATGACTATAAGCAAGTGCTCGATCCCCAGTCCTAGAACCTATTTCATCCATCCATACCTCCTTTCATCATTACAACACATCTGGTCTCTGCAGCAGGATAGACTCCCAGTTGCAGACCCAGTTGAGATATGTTGTTTGACTCAATCATAAGAGTTACAAACAATGAATTCAGAAATTTTGAGAGAGAATGGAGTGTGGTATTGATATTAACTATTAGGATAGTTCCCAGATAATAATATAAACATTTATATCATTCTTTGTTTATTTCTCTTACGTAGATCTACACTGACTAATAAGGTAGCTACTCAGTACGTGTGGTTAAACTTTAATAAAATTTAAAATTCAGGCTTTTGGTCACTTCGCTTTGTCTGAAGAACTCAATAACCATATGTGGCTAATGGCTACCACACTGGGCAAGGGGATGTTTACATCATTGCACTATGTTGGACAGAGCTTACAGGTTTACTTGGTTAGGGAAAGCAGTACTAGCTTCCTTTAGTTTTAGTAACCATTAGACCTGTCCTTATGCCTTCTCACTTGCTTCTCCTATTACACTATGTTCACACCATCTATTGTAACTTTTGAACCACATTTTATAACTACAGGTAACACTTCCTGAGTATCTGCTGCATTCTGTCTCTAGTTCTGGAAATGGAATCAAGAGCCCCAAGCTTACTTAGTCAAGTGATCTCCCACTAAGCATCAGTACCAGCCCAGGAAAAATTCTAATCTCAGATTCATTTGATTTCTAAAAGCTTATTCTCTTCATTTTCCATTTAGACTGCATAGAGACTATCTTCATTGCCTTTGATTACTCACATTTAACACACAGCAGCAGCTCCCATTCGATGTCTGCTGAATTAATGAATATGCAAGCTTTATAATTAAATAGCTATTAAAATATTTATGCTTCTAGATTGTCTATTCTGCTTCACTTATCTCTTCATCTACCTCTTCAACAGTAAATTACTTTAAAGTATGTTTCAGTATCAGGTAGTTTTCCTATCTGTTACTAACTTTAAAAGATTTAACTTGGGTATTTTGACAAGTTTATTTTTCCAGATGAACTAGCTAATAATTTTCCTAAGTTTGGGAAGAAAAACCTGCTGATATTGTGTTTGAGATTGCATAATTTATAGATTACTTTGATAAAACTGAAACATTTTTCATATTGAGTCCTATCTAACAAATCTAAATCTAAATCTTTATGTTGATCAGCACACTACTGACATAGGTTCTTTTTTCTTTTTCCTTTTATTTTTCTGGTGTTAAGAATCAAACGCAGGGCCTTACGCATGGTAGGCTGGGAGACAAGTACTTTACTACTCTGCCACACTCCCAGCTCAATTGTTTTGAGGTTGTTTTAAACAAGGAGGCTTTTGGAAGATGATGTCCCTCTACATAGCCCATACTGATCTTAAACTTATGATCCTCCTGCCTCAGTCTCCTGAGCATACGAGATTACAGGTACATGAGGGTTATGTTAGTTCTCACCTTATTCCTGATTATTTTATCTACTTGTTATTTTGATTCCGAATTTTGCTTTCCAGTATTATTTTTTCCTGTTTTTCTCCATATGCATATGCATACTGGGGTAAAATGTGATTTCCTTCTTACCAGCTAGAGAATCACATTCTTTCAGTCACAGTGATTAGTTCAGGAATGGAAAACTATCCAAGTTCAGCCAATCAGAGTGAACCTGTGACATAGGTAAGAAAAACTAATTCTCCTACCCAACTTGAACATGGGCAAATGAAGACCAGGTATTCTGAGCAATCACCTTATCACCACTTGGAACCTGGAAGTAACATAAAATGAAAGGCAGTACAGCTGGGAATTGGAGAAATACCAGGTTGTGTTAACATTGTTTGAAGGTAGCTGTATAATCCTTACTCTAGAGTCATCAATAAATCCTGTTTTGGGGAAGCCAATCTGAGTTGTGTTTGTGTTGAAATACAACCAAAAAATTCCTGAGTTTAAATTAAACATAAATGCTGGATTTTGGTTTGAACCAAATTTTGTCCTATCATAGGACATACAACAGACCTCCAATAAAATACTTGTTGAATGAATTGTTGTACAATGTACAAATATTTTGAGGTTTTTGTTTTGTTCTGTTTTTTGCCGGTCATGGGGCCTGAACTCTGGGTCTGGGCGCTGTCCCTCAGCTCTTCAGCTCAAGGCTAGTGCTCTACCACTGGAGCCACAGTGCCACTTCTGGCTTTTTTCTTTTTGCTTATGTGGTGCTGAGGAATCGAACCCAGGGCCTCATGCATGCAAGGCAAGCACTCTACCACTGAGCCACCTTCCCAGCCCCAGAGGGTTTTTTTATTTATTTTTTATTTTTTGTAGGTTTTACTACATAGCTAAGGCTAGTCTAGAACTTTCAGTGCTCCTACCTCAGCCTCCTGAGTGATGAATGTATGACCTCACTTAGTTTACTTACAATTTTTCATATTAATTGCTAAGACTGGTGTCTCATTTTTTCATAAGCAGGATTTTGGGTATCCAATTTATATAGCAAATTTTCCTTCTTTGTGCAATTAGAACATTCATTTTTTAAATGGAATTATCTCTTAGATCGTTTGAAAATGTTCACTTGGCCAAGTGTAGTAGTACCTCCTTGTTATCTCAAAACTAATCAGGGTGAAGGAAGGTTGCAAGTTTGATCCCAACCTAGGACCCAGACTCAAAAAAGGAAAGAAAAAAAAAGAAAAAGAAAGTTCACTTATAGGGGCTGGGAAGATGGCTCAATATGCATGAGGCCCTGGGTTCAATTCCTCAGCACCACATAAGCAGAAAAAGCCAGAAGTGGTGCTGTGGCTCAAATGGTAGAGCACTAGCCTTGAGCTGAAGAGCTGAGGGACAGGGCCCAGACCCAGAGTTCAAGCCCAATGACAAAAAAAAAAAGTTCACTTGTAGAATCATATTCCATGTGCTTTTGCCTTCGATAGTTTTCTTTTTGTTTGTTTGTTGGTTGGTTGGTTGGTTGGTTGTGGGGCTTGAACTCTGGGCTTGAATGCTGTCCCTCAGCTCTTCAGCTCTAGGTGAGCCCTCTACAGCTTGAGCCACAGGGCCACTTCTGGTTTTCTAATGGTTTATTGGAGATAAAAGCCTCATGGACTTTCGTGCTGGGACTGGCTTTGTACCATGACCCTCAGATCTCAGCCTCCTAAGTAGCTAGGATTACAGGCATGAGCCACTGGTGCCTGGCTTGTCTTTGATAGTTTTCTTAGTCTCTTTCTTCTTAGGTAAGCTTTGTCAATTTATGTTTTTCTAGAAAAATATGACATTCTCTCACTTGCCTCTGTATTAGTGATAATTTTACTTTCCTGCTTTTTGTTTGTTTGGCTTAATTGTTTTTTCCCCTGGTATTAAGGGCCTTCAACTTCAATTTGGTAGGCAGACACACTTCACTTGAGCCATGTCCCTAGCCTTTTTATGTTTTTAATTTTCATTGGAATATTTCAAATTGGTTGTTTGGACAGCAGTCACAGCTACCAAATTCTATCCATATCAAGTAGATATGGAAGATCATGTAGCAACATGATGTTGGGAATGACATAAATATGAAAATAATTCACAGCTGATTTTTTTTTTGGTCAGTTGTGAGGCTTGAACTCTGGGTCTGGGTGCTGTCCCTGCACTCTTCAGCTCAAAGTAAACACTCTACTAAATGAGCCACAGGGCCACTTCTGGTTTTCTGGTGGTTAATTAGAGATGAGAATCTCAAGGACTTTCCTGCCTGAGCTGGCTTTGAACTTCTATCCTAAGAGCTCAGCCTCCTGAGTAGCTAGGATTACAGGCATGAAGCACTGGTGCTCAGTGACAGCTGATTTTTTTTTTAAAGTATTGTGTTTGGAAACAACTAAGAATGGCAATAGATTTAGTGGGAACCTTATGCAGTATGCTATTTCCTACTCAGATGTATGGACAAAGACAATGCTCCCAGCAGAGATTTTTCTTAGTGTAGTTCACACTGAGTGATTTGGATTAAATAGATGAAGGATTTGCAGGTATATAAGAATTATAGTCTAGCATAGAGACATTACTGGTTTGTTGGAAAAAATTAAAAATCAGGATGATTAATGACATCCACCAAAAGAAAAACCCTTCATTTCACTTTACTGTCTTCAGGAGCTCAGAATATTCTTCCAAAGTAGACACTTGGGGCAGCATTTCAGTCTTGCTACATTAAGTATTCCCCTGCAGGGAGTGGAGTAGGGCATCAGTATATAAATAATAGCCACTTGAAATGGAAAAATAAAATAAAAAGGGGGTGTGAAAAGTGAAAATCATCCAAAGTAGCAGTCCACCCCCTCACAGCTGTAAATTACTCATCAGTTCTTAATGTCATTGTACTGAGCTGGAGCTGAGTCAGCCATCACCCTGGCTGCAGTGAAACAGAATTTAATCTCTCATCTTTTCATTGTAAGGGTTTTACTATGCATCAGTTTTATAGGAAAGATCAATGCTTTGTAGAAGGAATTCTACTCTACTTGACTCGGCAACAGTTTGATTCCAGACAAATCAATTATTCTCAGTACAAAACAGAGTAATCCCTTGACAATTTACCATCACAAACAATCTAGAAAGATAAAAGAGCCGTATGTCTGTCACATACTCACTGGAACCTAAGCACTTTCACTCATTAATACTTATGAACCATGTTTATAGTCAGATACTTAAGTAGGCTGGATATGGTAGTACACAAGTATACTATCTCAGTACTCAGGACCTGAGGGACAAGGATATGAGTTTGAGGCTAGTCTGAGGAATTGAATTTAGCAAGGCCCTATCTCAAAACAAAATTGAAAACACTGGCACTAGAGATGCATCTCAGTGGTAGAGTACTTGCCTAACATGTGTGAGGCCTTGGGGTCAACCCCAGTGAGTGGGCCTCAGGCCAGGAGCCATTAGTTTCCTGTAAAAAAAGATGTACAACACTCCATGTAATCAAATCACACACATATCTATCATAAAGTGCTCTACTTATTCGCAGCTATATATTTTAATAATTTATCAGTTTTGTTAGAACTGATTTTTTTTAATTTTTATATCTGACTTTTTATTTGGATTTTTAAAGCCAAGCTAAAAAAAAATAGGCTTTACTCAAAGTCACTCTGCCCTCACTCACTGGTCTTCTTTGGTATGTACTGGGGATTACTATGTATTTCTTTGAACTGAGGATTGAACGCAGGTCTCCGAGCATGCTTGGCAAGTGTTCTACAACTTAAATCACATCCCCAGCCCTTCTGTTTGTGCTTTTCTATTTGAGATTGGGCCTTAATTAACTTTTTCTTGTCTTGCTTTTACCTCTGAATAGCTGGGATTACAGGTATGTGCCACTCTTCCCCAATGTCAGCTTCTAATTTAATATATTTACAGTGCTGGAGTTAGAACTTAGGTCTTGTTTGTGCTTGCTAGGTGGGCGTTCTACCTTTCTCATTTTAATTACTTTTGCCCAGGGCAGGCCTCAGGTTACAATCCTATTTATGCCTCCTCGCATGTAGCTGGTATTACAGGCATAAACCACATCCAGCTTGTTGGTTGAGATGAGTCTTAATAACTTTTTTCCTAGGCTGACCTGGAACAGCATTCTTCTCATCTTCCCCGGTCTTATGCCCCCACCACATCCTGCCTTTCTTTAAAAAACAAACAAACAAACTGAAATGGTGTCTTACAATGTTGGCTAATCTTACCTGGAACTTCTGGGCTCAAATAATCTTACCACCTCAGCTTCTCTAGAAGCTGGGACTGCAGGCATGTACCATGGTATATTCATATTCCTCAATCTACTTCTCCCGCTTCCCAGACACTATGTTGTTCCAATTACCTTCCATATACTGCTTTACGTTTTTACAGAAATACTTGCTGGTTTTTTCCCTCTTTTTTTTTTTTTGCCAGTCCTGGGTCATGAACTCAGGGCCTGGGCACTGTCCCTAAGCTCCTTTTGTTCAAGGCTAGCACTCTATCACTTGAGCCACAGTACCACTACTGGCTTTTTCTGCTTATGTGGTACTGAGGAATTGAACCCAGGGCTTCATGCATGCTAGGCAAGCACTCTATCACTAAGCTACATTCCAAGCCTTCTTCCTTTTATTTTTTTCCATTACTACCACTATATGATTAACTAGTAAATAAATGTAATTTAATTTAGTATACTGCAGATAATTTCTGAGGCGCACTATATTATAAGATTTTAGTATCTTTTTTTTGGGGGGGGGAGGACCTGGTTGTGGGGCCTGAATTCTGGGCCTGGGCGCTGTCCCTCAGCTCTTCAGCTCAAGGCTAGCACTCTACCACTTGAGCCACAGCGCCACTTCCGGCTTTTTTCTTTTTGCCTATGTGGTGCTGAGGAATCGAACCCAGGGCTTCATGCATGCAAGGCAAATGCTCTACCACTGAGCCACCTTCCCAGCCCAGATTTTAGTATCTTTAAACAATGTAGAAAGATACTCACCCACAGTACCTTCTGAGCCATCTGTTTCCTTTGGGATATAATGTGCAGAAAGATCACTCTGAAGGACTTCATCTGATGTGGCTCTGGCTAACGCAGCAGCCAGAAAGGAAGGGCAGTTACTGAAAGAGAAACACAAGGCCATTCTCAATAAGAATTAGGGAGTAGCTCACTTAACATTATAATTTGTATTGATTATAACATATTACCTCAAAATAAAGTTGTGCCTTTAAACAATATTCAAAAAGTATTTATTGAGATCTTGCTATGTTTTCGGCCCTTTCAGATACTAGATATATGTTGCTGAACAGCACAGCTATTAGTGGAGCTTACAGTCTGTGAGGGAGCTAGAGGATACACAAATAGGGTAAGTTTTATAAAAAGAATACGGTGGTAAAGAATAACAGAGTAGTACCTACTTAGATTGGTCAGGAGTGTCATACCTTGAAAAATGAAAAAGGCTCAATTATATGGATATGGTAAGTCAGCATAAAACATTTCAGGCAGAGGAAACAGATCTTTTATAAGAACTTGGTATATTCAAAATGAGAGATGCTCAGATGATATAATGCATAGTGGGTGAAAGGCAAAGTAGCAAGGAAGAGGTATAGACAAAGTTCAGTTATTTGGACGCTTTACGCTAAAGTAAAGGATTTGGATTTTAATCAGAGAGTAATGAGAATTCACAGAAGATTTTTGAGCAAGAAAATGTCATAATCAGACATGTGAGCTAAATAGGGACATTGTCCAATAGGGACCAACTGGACTAATAAGGACTTTGTCCTTATACAAGTAAGAAGAAAAAATGAGTACATTTGGGAGAATGATAATATAGAAAACCTGCTGGTTATTGCATGTAGAAGAGAGAGAATGAGAGAAAACAGTTAACAGTATCCTGGATTTTGAGCAACTTAATAAATGAAAGGATCCTCTGAAGAGTGGGGGAAACTAGGAAAAGAACAAGTATGCCTAGGTGGGGTAAGATATTTTATGAAGGAAGCAAATAAAAACAGATCATTACTCTGGGTCAGGGATTTCAGTGTGTCCCCTGGTTTACTCCTTTGGTATGCGATCATCCGATGCATCATCATTATACAGATTGGGAAGTAATGGGAAATGGGATATTTTCTTTTGTAGTTCAGAGGTTTTCAGATCAAGTGGAATTATAGTTAAGAAGCTGTACTCAAGCAACCATACCCAAGGAATCCCACCTGTACTGCACCAAGATCTTGAATCTTAAGCCTAAGCCTGGTGCCATCATGGGATAAGACTTTGTAAGACTTTAGGGAAGAGGATAAGTGAAGTTAGCATATAGGAAAGATGTGAGCTGTGGCAAAAAAAAAGACTGGCAGATTGTCTGTAAAAGATCACTGCCATTATTTCTGATCCCATACTACTGTTGCTGTTTGCAGTGCTGGGCATCTAATCCAAGGCCTCAGGCAAGCTAGGCAAGTGCTCTACTACTGAGTTGTATCCCCACCCTCTATATTTTAGAACCTTATATTTCCCATTAAAAAAATAGAGCCTGGCATGGCGCTGGTAGCCTATACCTATAATCCTAGCTACTCAGAAAGCAGATCTGAGAATTGCAGTTCAAAGCCAGCTTAGGCAGGGAATATTTGTGAGATATTTATCTCCAATTAGCTTATGAAAAACCGAAAGTGGAGCTATGGCTCAAAGTGATAGAGTACTAAGCCTTAAGCATAAGGTTCAGGGACAGTGCCCAGACCCTGAGTTCAAGTCCTACAACTGACAAAAAAAAAAAAAAACAGAAAGAAAGTATATTTTTCTTTCTTTCTTTTTTTTTTTGGGGGGGGGAGGGGGGTCTGGTCGTGAGACCTGAACTCTAGGCCTGGGCATTGTCCCTCAGCTCTTCAGCTCAAGGCTAGTGCTCTACCACTTGAGCCACCAGTGGCTTTTTTCTTTTTGCTTATGTGGTGCTGAGGAATTGAACCCAGGGCCTCAGGCATGCAAGGCAAGCGCTCTACCACTGAGCCACCTTCCCAGCCCTATTTTCCTTTCTTTAAACTAACTCAAAATGCACTGTATGGGGTTGGGAATATAGTCTAGTGACAGAGCTCTTGCTTAGCATGCACAGGTCCTGGGTTTGATCCTCTGCAGTGGGGGAAAAAGAGGAAGAGGAATTATTGGCTGGTAAGTTATTGTTAATGATAGAAGGTTCTTTTTTGGAAAGAGGAAATTTTTCTAAAATTGAAGTTATGATGATGGTTGAATGACTGAATTTTATATTTTAAATGGGTCACTTATATGATATTTAAATTGTATTTCTATAAAAATGCTTTAAGAGGGCTGGGAAGGTGGCTCAAGTGGTAGAGCGCTAGCCTTGAGCTGAAGAGCTGAGGGACAGCACCCAGGCCCAGAGTTCAGCCCCCATAACTGACAAAATAAATAAATAAATAAATAAATACAGGTGTCAATTTGTTAGAAAAGGGCATTTCTATCTAATAGTTTGATCCAAAAATATTGTGACTCAATACCAAGGCTCACACTTATCATCAGGAGGTTGAGAATCATGGTTCCAAGCCAGCCCCAGCAGCTAAGTCCATGAGACTCTTATCTCCAATAAACTACTCCAAAAGAAAATTATATCACTTGTGAAATCAAACTATCTCTGGATATAGGTTCACCACAGGTAAGAATTTAAAAACTTGAGAGAATAAGGCAAGTACTATTAGTGTCATTAATGTGTCATCTGCAGTACATTTTTAGTCACAGTTAACGTAATTTTTTTACTTTTTGTCAGACAGAATGAAAATATTTTCAGTGAAGTAGGGAGGAGGATTAGCTGACTAATAGCTAGATATAAAACATCAAGCTAGACGTTTCACCCACATCAGCTCTTCCTACATGTCAAAAAGCTGTAACACTAGCATGAATAAATTCTTATGGGTTTGACTTGGAATTGAAAGTGATTGTTTCTATAAAATCAGAATTACAAATATATTTTAAAGCATGGGCACACCAGAGAATATTTGATACACCTCAAATAAAAGCTCATCATTAGTGCTTGTCATTTTAAGAGAATTAGCAGGTATGACTAACATGATAATAACACAGTAAACTGCTTTCATGATTTCTTTTAAAATGTTTGGAAGAACCTGACACTGAAGGGTTTAAAATTTGGCAAATACAATAAGCACAAGAAATATAAGAAAAGAGATAATACTACATGACAGTTTGGAGACCAGGCTTACAAGTATTATGGCGTTGTGCATACTGATGACACACAGTATCACTTGATTGGTTTTTGTTGTTTTATTTTGCCAGTCCTAAGGTTTGAATTCAGGACCTGGGAACTGTCTCTGAGCTTCTTTTCTCAAAGTTAGCACTCTACCACTTGAGCCACAGAGCTACTTCCAGCTTTTTGTTTATGTGGTACTGAGGATTGAATGCAGGATTTCATGTATGCTAGGAAGCACACTAGGCCACATTCCCAGCAACCTGAATTTTTTTTTTTTTTTTGTCAGTTGTGGGGTTTGAACTCTGGGCTTGGGCACTATCCCTGCACTCTTCAGCTCAAGGCTAGCTCTACCTCTTGAGCCACAGTGCCACTTCCTGTTTTCTAGTGGTTTATTGGAGATCAGAGTCTGACGGACTTTTCTGCCTGGGCTGGCACTGAACCTGGCCTGGCATTGAACCGAGATCCTCAGATCTTAGCCTCCTGAGTAGCTAGGATTACAGGCGTGAGCCACCAGCGCCAGCTCCTGTTTGTTTTTGTTGGTGGTAGGGCTTTAACTCTGGGCCTGGGTGCTATCCCTCAGCTCTTCAGCTCAAGGCTAGTGCTCTACCACTTGAGTCACAGCACCATGAGTGAGTCTCATGGACTTTCCTGCCAGGGCTGGCTTTGAACCGTGATCCTCAGATCTCAGCCTCCTGAGTAGCTAGGAGAATGTTCTTTAACTTTAACATCATGTAACGTTTAGTTGAACTATTTCTTTTAAAGTCTAATTGTTAGGACCCTCAAATATAGTAAAAAATAATATTTTGTTTATATGTATACATGTATAAAATGAGACTGAATTTTTTTGTGCTGGGAGTGGGGTTTGAACATGGGAACTGGGAGCTATCCCTTAGATTTCTCAATCAAGACTGGTAATTTACCACTTGACCCACATCTCCATTTCTGACTTTATGGTAGTTAATTGGAGATTAGCCCCGGCTGACTTTGAACCATAATCCTCAGATCTCAGCCTTCCAGTAGTTAGAATTACAGGCATGGTACCTGCCTCCATATTCTATTCAAGCTTCATATTCTGATCCCAATAATCAAAGCAGAGATACTTGAAGCTAACTATAAATATGCCACATGCACACACGCCAAACTAAGATTCATGAATGTTCTGATTGTTCTTTCCTGTGCTTGTATTGGCTAGCATCATCTTTGTCCTGAAAAATTTACCTGAGTAGATCAATCTTACTTCTTCAGCTCTATTTTGGAAATAGGGACTAGAAGTGTTACTCAGATGCAGAACATGTACTTAGCATGTACTAGATCCTGGATTCTTACCATAAGACAAAGGGAAAGAGGAGGGAAGAAGATAAAAGGGGAGGGAAAAGGAAAAATACAAGCGCATACTAATGCCATTCAATAATTCAGTACTTATCAATGTTTCGACAAGTCAGTTGTTGCAGTAGCTGGAACAGTATTTTAGGAGACAGATGTAAAATCATCATGGACACTACCTGATAATTAGTGTCAGGACTAAGAGTGTAGGTCAGTGGTAGAATGCACACTTAGCACATATGAGAGGAGGGATGAGGCCAAGAAGGAAGAAAGGAATGAGCATGTTCATTTCCTGATATCTACAGATATGAAAGATAATTCCTTATATAGATATCTCAAGACACTCAGAAATTAAACTTGTAAAAATAGTGATTAATCCATGTTATTACAAAGATTACAAACAACAACAGGGCAGGTACCAGTGCCTTATGCCTGTAATCCTAGTTACTCAATCAAGAGACTGAGATATGAGGATCACATTTCAAAGCCAGCCCAGGCAGAAAGTCCATAAGACTCTTATCTATAATTAACCACATAAAGCCATTAGAGTTGTGGTTCAAGTGGTAGAGTGCTAGTCTTGAGCAGTGCGTGCCCAAG